AAAAAAAAAAAAAAATAGTTGTGGATGGCCTATCAATCTGATAGCTCTACAGCAAAACCATTTTATTATAATATTCTGACATATGGGACCAGGGATTTATTGTTTTGACTTCACATAAAAATTTGTTTGATTTGACTTTATAAGATGAGGATAATTATATAGACACCTTTTGCCCCGGCTGACCATTTCCTGCTGCCTAACATAGCCGAAAAAACTGGCAAAATTCTTCCCCAATAACACATCTCTCCCTGTATATTAATTCAAAACGTGTTGAATTTAAGTGGCAGATTCTCACGCTTCGAATGCTGACATGACGAAAATCTATGGTTTATATATTGTTTTTATATTATTTTTGCTCTAAAGTTAGATTTAATATTAGACATAAATAACTTTACAAATGTTATACATGAGTATTAGTACTAATATTCGTTAAAACACCACCAAAATTCCTCAAACTACTGATAATTAATCTCAATAATAACATCGCTAGTAATCAGTTACTTTAACCACACGAACCTAATTCAAGTTCAACAAACTCATGATGATCAACATATCATCACAGTCCTTTTCACAGCTTAGCCCAACCCATACACCACACAACACCTAACTTCTCACACGTACTTTACACACCTAATCCAAATTACATAACCAAAACACACCCAAAATAAATAAAAGGTAAAAATTAAAAAAAAAATAAAAAAAAATAAGGCCAAGGAATCTCCCCACATTTGACTTCCCTTAGTCGTCGATCACTCTTGACAATTTCACTAATACTTGTTTAATTTTACTTCAACTCTTCTTCCTCTTCCCTTTCAAATATATTTTTCCTTCACCTCCTTCTCTCCGGCGTCCAATGCGGCAACGACGGGCTAAAATGTGTCGACACGACCCGCGAGTCGAGCAACTCCATAATAGGGGAATAGCTCACGCACCTCGGCGTCTTGTACTGATTAATCGAGGCCCCTCTCGAGATGGCATAGTCCATGAGTTCCTCGAAAGTCCCACTCCTCACAACTCGAATCTCGAGCGGGCCGATTGAGTTGTCCGCCACCCGGCACTGTCGGTACACCGAGTTGAGCGACTCCTCCATGGCCAAACAACACCCGTCTAGCACCTCCCGACTCGGCGAGTTGACCGGGTCCCTCGCGAGCAGCTCCCAGTATATCACGTAGTGTCCCGGGATGGTGCTTGTGTCCGCGCAGCTAGTGTACTCCACGACCGCCGTGTTGAATTCTCGAAGCAACCTCGACGCGCTCTCGACCGCCATCTGGAGCTCAGCCTCGTCCGTCTTGTCCGAGTCGATGCTGAGAAGGACGTTCTTTCGCCTCACGAACTGGAACTGAGGGGCCGAGTTGTGGAAACCGGTGACTCGGAGGATGTCCCCGACTCGGTACCGGTAAAGCCCCGCGTAGGTGGTGATCACGAGCTCGTATTCCTTGCCGACCTCGACGTCGGCGAGGTCGACCAGACGTGCCGGGTCGGGTTGGGCCGGGTCGGTGGTGTGGGGGAGGAATTCGAAGTAGGCCATGTTGGGCATGATTGTGTAGGAGACTTCGGTGGGCCGGCACATTGGGTTGAGGTTGAGCCCGAAATAGCACTCGGAGGATGCGTACATAGTGCAAGCCTTGGGAAGGCCGCCACTGTAGTAGTCCAGAGTGGGGATGTATTGGGCCATGGCCCCGGTCACGATGACGTCAAGGTACTTGGTGTTGGGCCAGATCCGGGGGATGATCCGTTCCCAATTTTCCAGGGAGCACTCGCGGGTGATGAAGTCGGCGAGGTCCGGGTCGGGTTTCATGAATTGGGCCATGTAGGCGCGGATGGGCGGGTCGGTGATGTCCGGGTGGAGGGATCCGGATCGGATGTCGTTGGCGAGTTGGGGCCAGTTGAGCTGGAGGAAGCGGATGGCCCGGAGGAGGCCCGAGGCGAAGACGGCCCCGACCCGGAGGACTTGCTCGCGCTCGTACAGCCCGCACAGCATCTGAGTGTACATGCTCTGGAATGAGTCGGGGCAGAGAATGGCCTCGTTCGGGCTGGTGTACACGTTGTACGGATCGTGGGGGCGGGTCCGGAAGTGGTCGCTCTTGTAGTAGCTAGTGAGGACGGGTCGGGCCGGGAGCCCGCCGGGGGTCTGGGTCTCGGATTTGATGAACAGGAAGTAGAGGCCCTTGCCTTTGTCCAGCCCCTTCACATATCTGTTCCCAATTGACAAAAATAAAAATTAGATAAATTAAAAAAAAATAATAATAATAATAATAATAATTTCGAAAATTTGTTGTAAACTCACAAGTTCATGACCGGCATGAGAAGGCTGTAGAGCAGCTGGCGGCGGTCCAATTCTTCTTTAATAGTCGGCATGAGTTTTCTTTCGCCGGCGGAAGTTCCAGAGCTGGTGAGAAATTCGGAAACAGGGTGGGCCGACAAAATCGGGGATCGGTCGCCGTCGGCGATTCGCTGGATCAACGGCTGGAGATCCTCGTAGGTGACCATGGGGATTTTGGACTTGAAGGTGGCGCGGTCGGTGGCTCCGTCGAGGTGGAAGCCCGATAGGTACTCGGTGTGGGCGTTTCGGGCCAGGATTTGGGCCAGGACGTTTTCCTGGACGGAGTCCGCGTTGCGGGTCATGTCCTCGATGAACTGAAGGGCTTTGGCGTCCTTCTCGCAGGCCGGAGGGCCCAGTGGGGACGAAAGGATGGAGTCGACGGCCATTAATGAGAAATTACAAGGAAACTGTGTGTCTGTGTGTGTGTTTGTGTGAGTAAGGGAGAGGGAGAAGAGAGAGGGAGAGAGAGAGAATGAGGGTATTTTTTATTTAATTTAGTGGGAATAGTTTGTGAGAAATTTGGGGAAGGGGAGAGTGTTATTTATAGGAAGGGGAACAGAGGGGAGGCCAAGTCACGTGTGTTATTTGTGTATGATTGTGACATGATGAAGAGTACATTGATCAAAGTGTAATTTTTTTTTTCTTTTAATACATAGGTTCGAGCCCCATTATACAGAGTTGCAGTCAATCCATAGCCTTAATCTCTGGCCCCACAGTGATTTCAGGAGTTAAATCTAAGACTTGCGACAGTGGCTTTTAGTTAGTTCGAAGTTGTACACTCTTGGGCCACCAGCAGGCCGACCACTTCAGGTATCTGCATTCTGCTCCTCCCAGATTTCGATCCCGCCACACGGTAAGTGTAATTTTTTTGATTCAAAACTATAGTGCGTACTTGTTTGTAAGTTTTTGCCAAAAA